TAGATATCTAGTTTATTAAGAGTTTTTAGCATAAATGGCTGTTGAATTTTGTCAAAGACGTTCTCTACATCTACTGAGATAATCATGTGGTTTTTGTCTTTGCTTCTGTTTATGTGATGGATTATGTTTATAGATTTGCATATGTTGAACCTGCCACCATTGACCTTCTTCACAGAACTGGAAAAAAAACCCTTTAACTGCATATGGAACAAAAAAAGAGCCCATATAGCTAAGACAATTCTAAGCAAAAAGAACAAAGCTGGAGGGTTTTTCTTTTCTATCACATTGTCAAAAATTTTCTATCACTACAAATTTTTCTAATTTTTATATGCTGCTTCCCTTTTAACACTGAATGCTTTAGCAACACTCAAGTCACCTCTTGAATGCTTTGCTGCTTAGAAATTTCTTCTGCCAGATACGCTAAATCATCTCCCTCTAGTTCCCAGTTCCACAAATATCTAGGACGAAGACAAAATGCCATGTTTGCTAAAACATTGCAAGAGTCACCTTTACTTCAGTTCACAGTAAGTTTCCGATCTCCATTCAAGACTGTCTCAGCCTGAATTTCATTGTCCATATCATTATCAGCATTTTGGTCAAAGTCATTCAAGTCTCTGGAAAGTTCCAAACTTTTCCACATTTTCCTTTTTTTTTTTTTTTTTGAGCTCTCCAAAATGTTCCAAACTCTGCCTGTTACCCAGTTCCAAAGTCTCTGCCACAGTTTTAGGTATCTTTACAGCAGCACCCCACACTACCAATACTAAATTACTGTATTAATCCATTTTCACAGTATGATAAAGACACAACCAAGACTGGGTAATTTATAAAGAAAAAAGAGGCTTGATGGACTCACAGTTCCATGTGGCTGGGGAGGCAGAAGGTGAAAGACACACCTTACATGATGGTTGTCAAGAGAGAATGAAAGTCAAGTGAAGGGGAAACCCCTTATAAAGCCACCAGATCTTGTGAGACTTATTCATTACCACGAGAGTAGTATGGGGGAAACCACCCCCATGATCTCATTTTCTCCCACTGGGTTCCTCCCACAACATGTGGGAATTATTGGAGTTACAATTCAAGATGAGATTTGGGTGGGGATACAGCCAACCCATATCAAGTGGCTACTATGAAAAAAAAAAAAGCCAGTAAATTGAAAAATCTAGAAGAAATGGACAAATTCCTAGACAATTAAAACCTACGCAGATTGAATCAGAAATACATCCAAAACCTGAATAGGCCAATAACAAGTAACAAGATCAAAGTAATAATAGAAAGCTTTTCAAGAAAATAAAAAACCTGGGCCACAGTGGCTTCACTGCTGAATTCTACTGGGAACTAATGCCAGTTCTACTTAAACTGTTCCAAAACATAGAGGAAGAAGGAAAACTTTCAAACTCATTCTGTTTGGCCAGCATTACCCCAATACCAAACTCAGATATCTAAGACACGTGAAAAAAAGAAAACTACAGGCCAATATCTCCAATGAATATTAATACAAAACTGCTCAACAACTAGCTAAGCAAATTTATTCCTACATTAAAAAGGTCATTCATTACAATCAAGTGGGATTTATCCCAGAGATGTAAAGATGGTTCAACATATGCAAATCAATCAATATCATACATCATTTCAACAGAATGAAGGACAAAAATCATATGACCTTTTCAATTGATGCCAAAAAAGCATTTGATAAAGTTTAACATCATAAGGAAAAAAAAAACTCAAAAATGGGTATAGAAGGAATATACTTCAACATAATAAAAGCCATATATGACAGAAGTTTTATACTAAATGGGGAAAAATCTGAAAGCCTTTCCTTTAAGATCTGGAACATGACAGGGATGGCTACTTTCACCACTGTTACTCAGTGTAGTATTAGAAGTCCTAGCTAGAACGATCAGACAACAGAAAGAAATAAAAGGCATTCACATTGGAAAAGAAGTCAAATTATCTTTGTTTGCAGATGATGTGACCTTATCTGGAAAAACCTAAAGTCTTACCAAAAAAAAAAAAATTAGAACTGACAAGCAAATTTAGTAAAGTTGCAGAATACAAAATCAAGATACAAAAATTAATAGCATTTCTATATGCCAACAGTGAACAATCTGAAAAAGAAATAAAACATGTAATACTGTTTGCAATAGCCACAAATAAAGTTAAATACCTAGGAATTAAAATAAGCAAAGTGAAAGATATCTACAATGAACAATATAAAACATTGATGAAAGAAATTGAAGAGGACACCAAAAAAAAAAAAAAGGAAAGATAGTCCATGTTCCTGGATTGCAATAATCGATAAAGTTAAAATGTCTAATCTATAGATTCACTGCAATCTCTAGTATAATGCCAGTGGCATTCCATGCAGAAATGCAAAAACGTGTATACAAAGTTATAGTAACCAAACAGCATGGTACTGACATAAAAACAGACATATAGGCCAGTGGCACAGAATAGAGAACCCAGAAACAAATTCACACACCTGCAGTGAACTCATTTTCAACAAAGGTGCCAAGAACTTATAATGGGGAAAAGACAGTCTCTTCAATAAATGGTACTGGAAAAGCTGTATGTTCATATGCAGAAGAATGAAACTTGATCCCTATCTCTCATTATATACAAAAATCAAATGACAATGAATTTAGTACTTAAATCTAAGACCTCAAACTATGAAACTACTACAAGAAAATATTGTAGAAAACCTGCAGGACATAGGTCAGGCAAAAATTTCTTGAGCAATACCCTACAAACACAGGCAACGAAAGCATAATGGATAAAAGAGATCACATTAAGAAAAATTAAAAGGTTTCTGCACAGCAAAGGACGCAATTAACAAAGGGAAAAGACATAGAGAATATTTTCAAAATTATCTATCCTGACAGGGTATTAATAACCAAAATATATGAGAAGCTCAAACAACTCTATAGGGAAAAAGTCTAATAACCTGATCAAAAATTTGGCAAAGATTTGAATAGGAATTTTTCAGAAGAAGACATATGAATGGCAAACCAAAAAGTGCTTGTGTCTCTTAACATTTTAACTTAAAACAAGTTAAATATTGCATCATTTGTCAGTCTTTTAATGCAGGCATGAGGCCTTTTCTTGAATTATCTTGTATTTCAATACTAGATTAAAAGTCTCTTTCTGAGAGTAGTTCTGATTTTAATTACATATATTCTAAAGCATATCTACTAGAATATATACATATATTCTAAAGTATATCTACTAGCAATACTTTTTCTGTTTCTATAGTTTAGTCAATTATTATATTAATATTTGTGGCCTACACTTGACCTTTCTTTGAGTTTCCCAAGATAATGAATTATTTGCATTTCAGAAAGACTATTAGAATAAAAACTGCAAAAGTGGATAGCGATAACCATACTTACTTACATGTCTCCCTTTTAAAGGAGATAACGTCTCAAAAATAAATAGGGGATAATTATAGAAATTTTCTCAGTGCAGGTGGAGGAAGACTGGAACATTTTTTTCACTAGTGAAATTTCTGGAGATTTAGTAAGAACAGTTAACACATATTTTATTATAGTTTTATCAGATAGAGTCATTTTTTTGATTTTTCAGGTAATCTTCCCAAGCTTTCAGAGATGCTGAAAACAGAAGAGGCACTAAAACTAATTAGGGGGAATATTAATATTTTTCCTAAAACTAATCAATGGATTTGAGGAGAAAAAGCTAATAAATACAGGCATTTTGATGTTATTATTTATCATATCTAGATGAGTTTTTTAACAGTTTTTATTTGACTCTTTTTTTTCTTAAATTTCTTTGCTTCACTATTATGCCATTGCCATTACTCTTTGTTTAGATATTTTGCCTCTTATTAATGTATACTACTGTCTGTTAGCAAGCAGTAGTTCCACAATTAAGCTCAGGGGATCTGAAAAGTGAGCTTTTTATTGTGGGTACAGTGAACATGAAGTAGAGGTTTCTTTATTTTTTTAATTATACTGGTTCATAGAAGACTAGAAACTAAGTAATATATATTAAGTATTATATATATTTAAGAATTTTCAAAATTGGGCACGTTTTGCAGAAATATGGTTTATTACTTTTCTTGTCCATTCTAATTCTAAATGTAATATTCTTTCTACTTAAAATGTTTAAATGTAGGTTCCTTGCTAACCAATTCTTTAATCCCTGGTGGACATAAATGCTTACCTGCCTATAGTATTTCAGGCTAATGCCTAGTATTTCCTAATGTGTAATGTTAAAAATCAACCCAAATAACTTTCTTTGACACTTAAGAGGTTTATCGTCAACATTATAATCTCTAGATCTGACTGGTCTACCTGGTAACTGATAATCAGTGCCAGAGTCTAGAACATACCTCTCAGATCACCTTTTTTCTCTGATGTTAAGATAAACTTAATACCTGCCTGTGCTTTTAGGCTGATTGACATGCCTGATTAAATCACATGGTTCTCTTTTCCTTTAAAAAATGAGAAGATTCCCTCTGTGCCCTCATGCATATTCATGCTGTTGAAAGGAAAGATCATCAAGTTTCTTCTTATATGGGTGTATTGTCAAAATATGGAAAAACGGGACTCTGACAGGCAGTGGCCCAAGTTGCTTATTGCATTTAATTAGAGGGGCATTGCTCTGGACTTTGAAGCAAAAGGCCTAGATTTGTGTCCTCTCTTACTACTTAATAAATGGTAGCTTAAAAAAGTCATAGAACTTGCACTTTAGTCTTCTCAACTGTAAATTATAGAAAATGTTTCTTAGCTCACAGAATGCTTTGCTAGGATGGCATAACGTAAATATGAATTTTATAAACTCTAGTAAAAATATGAAATGTAATATTTATTTCTTCTTTGGGACAAGTTATAATAATGTCTTAACACTCTGCATCCACTCTTTATCCATGTTTGCCCTTCTGCGTGTTTAGGGTACATTGTTAAAAGGTGAAAAAGGTATCATGCTTTTTTTGTGAAGGAAAAAAAATACCAGAATTTTAAAAATTATTTTATTTTCTGTTTTAGCTATCGACTTCAATATTATAAAGATTTTAAACAACCCAAGAGCATATACATTGCCTACATCCAAAGAAGAATCAGGATTATTGAGACTAGCAACAAAGGTTTGGAGTATAATAACTATTACAAAAAAATTTTACTTGTTTAATTTGCAATATAATTGCTAGACTGTGCTGTACATAGACAATCCTGGTTATTACATTCTTAACATATATTTTAGAAAAGAATTTAATGGTCAAAAGAGATTCATTTGAGGGGTTAATCCTAATATTAAAAAGGTTTGTTTTCTTCTGAAAATATCCCCATCTCTAATGAAAAATATCATAATATTAGTTTTTTCTTACAACATGTCTTGTCACTGCTTCTCCTTGGGTTGACATACAAAGATTCCATCTGGTGTTTGCACATGAACATGATCTCAATAAGCAGCAAAGTTTCAAGGGAAGCTTCAAAGGAGTGTCAGCAATAGTTGACCTGTCCTTACTTCTTAAGCCACGATCCTGGAATAATAGTTGCTGTGTATATTATAATAATGCACATGTAGTTACTGTTACTCTTGAGTCTTGAATGCTTAGCCTTTCGACATTCTTGAAGGTGCTTTGCAAGTAGAGATTTCATGGACTCATCACCACGTGTTGCCTTAGCCAAAATTTGATGAGATTATTGACCTGAAATTCTGAATTTGATATCTTAATTTGTTAGACAATTCAGTTTTAAGTCTGTTACAGTCTTTATTGCTAATATTTTTTCTAAATTATCTTATCTGATAATATAATTTATTTAAAATTTAAAATTATGCCTATGTAAAAACTGCTTTCTGAAAGTCAATGTTTATGTTTTCCCAGTATTTAATAATCCAGGTTTAATAAAATATCTTCCTACTTACTTCCTACTTCCTTACCTTCACAGTAAGGCCAAGGATGGTTGCAGCACTTCAGATATTAACTGGTGATATATAGAAGTCTATTTTGAATCAATGAGAACGTCACATCATTTCCTTTGGGGCAATATTGCCAGATTTAGATATCAGAGATAAATAATAGAAATTGTATATCTGATCTTCAGCAAACCCTAAAAATGGTCTCTTGTACTTTGTTTAGTAGTTAACATATGGGTTTGTAACAGACTAAACAACCTTTTTCAGAGCATGCTGGTAACAGATAGAAATTGGAGATACATCTTTAGAAGTACAGCACATTGCTGCATTTTTTTGTCCTGTCCCATTGTATTAGTCAGCTTGGACTGCAATAACAAAATACGATGGACTGGGTAGCTTAAATAACAGAAATTCATTTCTCACAGTTCTGGAGGATGGGAAGTCCAAGATCAAAAAGCCAGCCAATTTCTGGTGAAGGCTCTCTTCCTGTCTTGCAGATGGCCTCTTTCTTGTTGTGTCCCCATATGGCAGAGAGGGTGAGCTCTGGTCTCTTCTTCTTATAAGGACTCCAGTCACATCATTGGCAACCTCATCTAAACCTAATTACAAAGAGTTCTGAATCATATTGCTGTAGCAACAGCTAAACTATTTATGAATATTTCTTCTGGAAGGAAAAGACTCAGAAGCCATAATAACTGTTTTCAAATATGTAGCGACCTACTATAGGAAAGCAGAATTAAGGTTTTTCTGTGTGGCTCCAAAAAAAGTATAACTTTTGCCAATAAATAAGTGAAAGCTACAGGGATATAGATTTCAGCTCAACATAAGGAATTTTCCAGGTAAAAAGTTGTCCAAATGCTGAATGGGTGCCTGTGGTTTTCTAGTCCCTGAAAGTGACATTGAGTATGAGCACTGGCAGAGCACATATTCAGGCCTCAGAAGTCAAAGTTTAGCTTTCTTGTCATTGCAGCAATTATCCTTCAATAAATTAACAGAGAAATTAGACACCAAAATCACCCCTTCAAATTTCTAGTTTATCCTTACAGTCATTCCAAAGCTTATGAAGTTGCTTGATTCTTCCAATTTAGGGCTAGGTTGACTTGACAATAAAAGTCTTGTTTATAGAATCCTAAAGTGCTCTGACAAATTTCTGCCATTATCTTTTATGGAAATATTAGGGCTTCTGTTCTTTGGTTTGGCTATTTGGAGTGTCTCTAGCAAGAGATTTTGGGCAACTTGGGGCATTCTGCTTTAAAAAACAAAACACTATATGTACATTTAATACCTATTTGGCTCTTACCTGACTGAACTACTCTTAAAAACCATGAATTCTTATAGAGGAAAAAAGAGCTACAAACTGTGATTTTCTGAATTTAATAACTGATAACTGTGGAAAATGACAGAAATGTCTATTTTTAGAACTTTAGTAAGACAGACTGTTTATCTTACAGTACCCAAGAAAGAAACAGGAAGAGTTACAAAACATCTATCTAGACAGGAAAATTTTTTAAAAATTCTCAACTGAGCTTAGGCTAGTTTTGCATTTATTTTGAAGATTGGGCCATATATAATCCGATGTGAATTATCATGGCAGCTTAAAATGAAGGAGTGATTTACGTCATAGAAAACATGTCTGATATTGACCTTAACTTTTTACTAGCAAAGAATTGCTATTGATTGTGATAGTCCCATTATTTGAAATGATTCTGTAGCTGCTAGGAATTCTGAAACATATTATTTGCAAAAACCTATAGGACAAAAAAGTGACCTTAAGCAAAAGACATTCAGGAAAACTTTATGTATCAATAAAAGCAAATAAAAATAAAATTTTATTTCCTCATAGAAAGTGGAATCAATACTAAATCTCTCATAATGACATTACCAAGATTGAGGAAAACTTAAAATATTAGTAATTGCTTTACTGACATTTCTCTCATATTAGTAATTGCTTTACTGACATTTCTCTCATAAGAAGAGAATAATACAATCTTGGAGAAATTGTATTTATGGTTGTTGTATTCTTGACATAGGATTCTTGGTCAACACGTTTTTTTTTCCATCAGCACCTTGATGCTATCCTACTGCCTTCTTGTCTGTTTTGTTATGATAAGAAGTAAGCTATTAATCTTATTAACGTTCCCCTGTATATGAATTGCTTTTCTCTTGCTGCTTTTGAGATTTTTCTCCTTGTCTTTATTTTGATTACTTTGTCTAGGATGTGCTAGGTGTGAATTTATTCTGCTTAGAGATTAGTGAACTTCTTGGATGTGTTTTTCATAAATTTTGGAAATTTAGCCCATCATTTCTTCAGATATTTTTCCTATGCCTTTTCCTTTGTTCATTTTCTTCATTTTTTTTCTGTTCTTAAGACTGAATAATGTCTGTTGCCTATATGCAAGCCTGATGATAAATCAAAATGCTAGAAGAGTCTTACTGTACATACTTGTAGACTCATACTTTGATAAATTCCTCTAATTAAGATGATGCTATCTGGAATTTCCTTTATTTTAATATGCCAAATGGTAGCTTTATGCTTAATATGAAGTTATGTTTTACTTATCGTTTTTAGAAACACAGAAGTTATTGTCTTGATTCTTTTCTTCCTCTTACAGTCCCACTATAGTAGTACTGGTCCAGAGTTTAATCGTGTTCTCTTCAATTTTGGAGGTCAGAGTCCATTGATTTTATATTATCTTAAGATGCATGAGCTGGCTGGTATTTCTAAAGCCCCTAAGCAAAGCAAGATTAAACTCACTGAGATATTCCAGGAACCATATCCTTTTTAAAGCTTTGCTTTAATATGATTTGTTTCCAAAATAATATTCAGAACATTTTACTGAATGTCTCAATTGAGAAAAAAAAATGAACGCATGTTTTACCAATGCTTCTATTTAGTTTTAATATTTAGTTATGCTTAATATTATATATTTAGTATGTAGTATGTTTGGCTAAGCTATTTTCTTTTGTAGTATGTTTGGCTAAACTATTTTATTTTTTAGATCTAAGGCTATAATTTTGTAAGAAAAATAAACCCAAAGAACTTTTAAAACTGGTATACTTGGTGCTGTGATAAAAAGCTATCTTTGCAACTTTACTGTTAAGTGATTGGTTTCAAACATACACAATTATGAGACATGGGCTTCTAGCCTTCTCCAAAGAGAGCTTTAGGCACATTTTAGCTGTGGAATTCCTTGTTCACATGAAAATTTGTCTGAACATGTTTTACACATAAAAAAATTATTTTTATGTGTAAACTAAAAATAAAGTCAGAGTTCTGTGGTTGAAGCAGGGGTATGGCCCAGAGTTCTGTTTTTTACAGTCTTGTCCATCTTCAGTATAACGTTTCTTGGCCCAGGCCTCATTAAGGACTCAGATGAACCCCAAAGGGATTAGAACACTAAGCACTAAATTGGAGTACAGGCTGCCACGGCGGCACCTGTCTGGTCTGGTCCACTACAGAGGCCGTGCAGTGTCAGGCCCCAGAGCTTACCGCACCGATAGAGCCACGCTGTGCACCCCACCCAGCACCCATCAATTCAGTGAGGCTGCAGTGGCAGCTACCCCATACCACAGCCACCCAGCTCTGGGGCTTCCTGCTCCTGCTTACAGCAGCTCAGGAAGCAGTTTTACGTGCATCTAGAAATGGCACATCCAAGAGCTACTGCATGCTTTATAACCCTCATTGGATAACTTTTCTAAGTACCCTAGAAAATGCAGCTTCCATTAGTTTGATGAGTCTGACTTCCACACCACTATGCAGCCCTTCTGATATTCCTCCTGTTGGCATAAAGAACAAAGTACTTGTGATGCAATGCGGAAGCTGCCATTTTCCAAAAAAAGCCAGAATTGCACTGAAAGGAGGTGCTGAAGCAGTGTTAGTTGTCAACAGTGTCCTATTTCCTCCCTCAGGTAACAGATCTGAATTTCCTCATGTGAAAGTACTGATTGCTTTTATAAGCCAGAGTCTTTAAAGATATGAAGCAGACTCTAGGAAATAACATTAATGTGAAAATGTATTCTCCATTGTGGCCTTTGATCATACTATGGTGGTCATTTTTGTAATTTCTGTGTTCACTGTGGCATTAGTTAGATACTGGAGTGGACTAGTTGAATTGGAAAACTTGAAAGCAGTGACAATTGAAGTTAGAGAAATGAGGAAAAAGAAGGAAGAATATCTAACTTTTAGTCCTTTCTTACAGTTGTAATCTTTGTGGTCACCTGCTGTGTTATGATGGTCTTTAATTCTTCTGCAAATGATTGGTTTATGTTATAATAGCAATTTTCTGCATAGCATCAGCAATGAATCTGTACAACTGTCTTGTCTGCACTAATTCACAAGATACCATAGGCAGTGCACACTTGTGTGTTGTGACAAAAGCATGGAAGTGAGACTTATTTTTCTCTCTGGACTATGCATAATGATAGCTATTGTTTGGGCTGTGTTTCAAAATGAAGACAGGTGGACTTGGATTTTACAGGATATTGATATCTTGGAGATTGCTTTCTGTCTGAATTTGATTAAAACACTGAAATTGCCCAACTTCAAGTCATGCATGATACTTCTAGGCCTTCTTCTCTTCTATAATGTATTTTTTGTTGTCATAACACCAAAACACAAGACACAAAACACAAAAACAAAGAATGGTGAGAGTACCGTGGTTGAACTTGCAGCTGGACCTTTTGGAAATAGTGGAAAGTTGCCAGGAGTCAACAGAGTACCAAAGCTGATCTATTTCTCAGTAATGAGTGTGTGCCTCATGCCTTTTTCAGTGTTGGGTTTTAGAGACATTACTGTACCAGGCCTGTTGATTGGGTACTGTAGAAGAGTTGATGCTCAGACTGGTTCTTCCTATATATAGTATGTTATTATGCTAGTTGCCTATGCCATTGGCATGATACTTACATTTGTTGTTCTGATGCTGATGAAAAAGGGGCAACCTGCTCTCCTCTATTTAGTACTTTGCACACTTATTACTGCCTCAGTTGTTGCATGGAGTATTTTAATTATTTGTGATGTAACTGTAAGTAGCAGCCTGGGTGGCATAGCAAGACCCCATCTCAAAGAAATATAAATATATATGTAATATAATATAAAATAAATAACTTTATACATTTCCTGGAAGAAAGGTACTCTGCAAATTCAAAAGATCTGAATCAAATTACTCAACCTTTTGGACTTTGATCCTCTGCTATAATACTCATATGTGAGATTACTGAATTTTCAGTTAAAAAATTATTAACAGGATAATATATAGGCCATATTATAGTGAAGATCATAGCCCCTGTATTAAAAAAAAAGTGTTCATTGGGAGAAGAACTATTTTTAAAACTAAATTTTTATAGTAATCCTCCATTACTAGCAATTAAGGAGCAACCAAAGAAAAAAAAAGTAGAATATTTAATGTATCTATTGTGGAATGATTGAATCAAGCTAATTAACATATTCATCACCTTAAATACTTATAATTTATCCCTCCTAACTGAAACTTTGTACTCTTTAACCAAAACCTCACCATTCCGCAACCTCACAGCTAAATTTCTCTTGATAAGGAGTGATTTGCCAAAATCACAAAAGGGAGGATGACATTATTTTCAATGTGTAAGGATTCACATGTAAACACTGAGTAGATTGGAGGTGTGTATGGAGAGGACTGGAGGGAGTCAATGAAATTTCATATCACAGAAGTGCTTATGCCTTCTGACATGATTTTAAATGTATATTTATAAGGATATTAAACTACTAATTAATGTATACTAATTCATTACTGAAAATTTTAAATATAATTTTTAAATGATCTTTGGAGTTTTTTTAAAAAACTTGATCACTTAACATTTGAATTATGAGTAAAACAGGAGACAAACTTTGATGTACAGGATTTAGAGCTGAATGCATGGTATATCTTTAAACTGCAGACTCTTGGATAAATATATTTAGAGCTTCTCATTCTCCCTTCATACTTTGTCTGTATTGTTATAAGCTACCTCAAGCCCTTTATGTGTTGAGACTAAAAAAGAATACTGAAAAATTTAACAATTATTTAAGATACGAAATGCTAATTATTTTAAAAATTGAAAACTCAGAGCCAAAACGTTGGTGTACTCTGTGTGGGTCTTGTTAAAAAGAAAAATCTATAAGCCATATCTGTATTTCTAACATGAGTTTTAAACATTCATATTTTGTTGCAGTTTAGAAAAATCTGAACTCAATGCAGTGCCATAATGAGTACATTATGTTACTATTAACACATGCTCCCACTATCACACATGCATATAGACTTTTTAAACATGTAAATAGTGTGCAGGAATGAATTGTTTAAACCCAGCAATTGAAAGTAATGTGGATATAGCAGCATTTATACTAGCATATAAATAAAACCTATACAAATAAATAATCTGTTATGAATTATCTGTGATGTGGGAGAAGAAAATTATCAACAGTGAAAAAAAGAGAAACAATTCTGAGACTCCAGAAGCATCACCAGCTCTGTATTCTTTTTACCATTATTTATATAATGATTTCCAATAATCTTCATCACATGAACACACATAGATATTTTTCTCATTAACCAATATATGAAATGAACATCAGGAGCAGGCCTGTAATAGAAAATAAGGTTTTTTAAAAATGGGCAAACTATATTCAGAGAAAGCAGTAATATTGAAACTTGTTTCACAATGAGAGTGGGGCTGTAAGAGAGGACAGTTCATCCCCTATATCTTACTGATGGCAGACGTTTAAGAGCTCATAATACCAAGGCTAAGGTCTTCATTTAACACAAGTTGAGGAGCTGTCTTCTTGTTAATATTGGCCGATATTGGCCAATTCCCACTTCAAAAGGGAAGCGCCTCAGGCATGGGTTAAGGCAAGGTTAAGACATATCCTCAGGCTGTGCCCAAAACAGACAAGACAAGAACCCACCTTCATTAACAGCATACTTGGACATTCTGATTACCATCTTTCTTCTGGGAAGATAGCAGAAGCCAGGCTAACTGAGGCAGCCAACATGCTGCCAGCTACCTCCAAAGCCTCTTAGAAGAGTCTTTAAGGTTCTCAATATATGTAAAAATGAAAGCTGGGTGTGGTGGCTAACAATTGTAATCCCCATACTTTGGGAGGCCAAGGCAGGAGGATTCCTTGAGCCCAGGAGTTTGAAGTTCAAGACCAGTCTGGGCAACGTAGCAAGATCCTGTCTACTACTCAGGAAGCTGAGGCAGGAGGATTCCTTGGGCCCAGGGGTTTGAGGCCACAGTGAACTATGACCATGCTGCCACACTCCAGCCTGGGTGACAAAGTAAGACCTTATCTCAAAATAATAAATATATAATTAAATGAATTTTGATAATTTTTAATATTTACATTTAACAAGTTGCTGCTTTTAAAACAAACACACACATAAAAGATAATTACAGGATTTATCACACTATTAAATGCCCTATGGTTGTTGTGGTTGAGATAATGGGACGCACTTTTAAAGTGGTGTTGTCTTCTTTCAGTCCTCTGAGTGTGACTTCAGACATAATATTTGTGTTTATACTTGAGACTCTTTATGATTGGGAAGCCGAGATCACATGGTCCCCTTGGTTCCTCTGTGAAGGGTACTATTTACTTCCCAAATGTTCCTAATTGAAAATCATTCCTTAATAATAAGCCTAGCACACTACCTGCTCCAACATACCGTGATATTATAAAGGAGGCAAAAAGACAATTTGCAAGGAACCGAAAGGATTTTAGGATGTAAGTTGATGCCATACTATTGTTAAATATAAAATACTACTTTTTAAGAGCTGGAAACAATCAGAGAAATCATCTAAACTAAGTTCCCTATTTTAATGATGAGGAGTCATGTCTGAGCATCTTATAGACTGAGAGATTCTTTTCAGGTAAGTGTCAAAGGTATATGTTGTAATCGTGGAGCCATGGCAAGTGAGAGAAACAGAAAAAAGGAAGGAAGCTTTTCTTGGTGTGACTAGAGGGGTGCACCCCAACATGAAAAGGCAAGAGCTTCAGGGAATGGAGATTGGAGTATTGTCCATTTACAAAGATAAGCCCTGGAAGACTAGCAGAAAGGTTGCCTGCAGTGGAAGGAGTTCCCTGGAACTGGGGTGGCAGCTGGGGTGGAATCAAGCAAGGAAACCACGACGGGAAAGTCCTTCCTGAAATGTTTTCTTGGGGGAACATTTTCAGTTATTTGTACTTAATTTAAATGATTGCTTGTGGTCATTTATGGTAATCTTCTGTCCTAGGAAGCCAGGAATGGGTTAATGAGAGAATATCCATCAATTTTTACAAGAACAAATTGGGAGAGTCCAGTGCTTCTATCCATGCTATCAAGGTTACTGCCTTGAGATTGTATTGCCTTTGTGGGGAGGATGATCCTCCTTTTTGGGTGCCTCCCGCTGTTTAAGGAGGACATCCAAGAGAGGTAAATGGAGGATCACGAGTTACAGCCTGTCCAGCAGGCAGATCTAAAAGCCTGCACCCCTGCTTTCCAAGGGTCCCCATTCCCTTCTCTCTCGCTCACCCACCCACACACGTATGTGCACATCCACACACACATACCCCTTAGACTTCCTGTGCTTAGTGGAAATAACACGGATGGACACTTTTCTAGAGGGCCCCTGTGGTAGCAGAAGGTAGAGTCCAGCTGTGCTCAAGTGTGGTGGGTGATACTTTCAGCACTGTTTGTAAGAGGGAATGTGCTGGGGAATTCTTGACACTAAATAGTGCATAGGAAGGGAATGAATTGGTTTGTAGAGGGCTTTTACTAACACATGTATGTCAGTAAATTGTTGATTTTTTCTTTCCCAATTAGTAACACCTGCATTATTTTAAAATTTAACTTCAAACTTTGACTTTATAGGGAAAAGCATAGAATTAATGAAGAAATAAAACATCTAAAATGGCAGCAAGAAAGAATTGACAAGGAGCTTGATAGGTTTGTCTCTTATTCAAGTTTGTAGTGCTTACGATGATCTTTAATTGAAGAGATGTGTTACATAAAACCACAAAACTGCAAAAAGGTTTTCTAGTTAACATTTAATCTGGAGTAATTTTAACTTCCTTTAATCACAAAATCATTTACTCTGCTAATTTACTTAATTGCTAAACATTATCATCTATTTTTTCTCCTCTAGCCATAGGACTCAAGTTCAAGCCCTTTTCAAAATAAACTTATAAGCCTCCCCCATCCTATGGAAGTTGTAAACTAGAAAAACAATTTAGCTGGTCTCTCTTGGGCTAGTTTTTTATTTATCTTCTTCCTCTGCTGCTTCCCCTATGCATGTAGACATTTTTCCTCAATGAAGCAAGAAAAATTGGGCTCATTTAATTTATTTTAGAAATTATAAGAAAAACTATATTGAGATTACTTTATAGTAATGCTACTTCCAATACACCCACAAGCACATACAGAATAAGAAGTATCAGACTTAAACCTATGTAACAAACCTGCACGTTCTGCACATGTACCCCAGAACTTAAAGTATAATAAAAAAAAGAATTATCAGACAAGTCCACCCCTTCAAACAAGCCCCGCTAGGGAGACTATAGCTTTGTGCAGTCACAGTTCATACTTCTAAATACTATTTTAGAACTTACAAAGCTAGTTTTCCAGGGACATGAGAAAATTCAACCCACTGCTTTAGGATCTTACCTCACTTTTCACCAAAAACTTTACCGCCCAGTTTTCTGCTTCACAACACCTGTTACAAGGTTCCATTCTGGGTGAGTGTTACAAGTTTCCAAAAATCAAATGTGGACCAGAGTTTTCACCACGGAGAATACGCAGAAGAATGTAGGGCAATTCTCAGAATAACTCACAAGAAGTGTTCAAATATGTTTAATGCAATGACACATTGTTGAAAAAATACATACTTGGATATATAAATCCCATGTGCTTGTTAAAGTTGTAGGCACAGTGTATGGGCTTCCATTTGTAATCTTCAAAAGAGATATTCATGAGAGGAAAGGCAATCAGAAAGAGGAAGGATTAGTGATGATATTAAACTTCATGAATATACTAAAACCACTAAACTGTACATTTTAAAGGGTGAATTTTATGGTATGTAACATATATCTCAATAAAACTGTTATTTTTTAAGAGGGGAGATTGTAAATTGAAAGAGTGACTTGGAAGAGGGAGTGATTTTAACTAAGTGAGATGAGACAGATTCTGAGAATAATGTGTAGCTCAAGGAGATTCTAAGGTGTTACTGAGAAATGGCACTGTAAGAGCCAGATTTGAGATAAGCATGGAAGGAAAAATGTGAGACCTGAAGAGCAGTAAGTGAGAAGGAAATCCAGCTTGAAAGACAAAATAGGCAGAGAGAATGAGTGAGGGGACATGTGTCGGTCACAGAGCACAGACGTAAGAGGACCTCGGCTCAGTACTCCCACTCTGCCTTCGGGGGTAGCTGAGTCTAATGCTGAAGAATCCTCGAATAGGCCTTGCAAGGGGTTAGCGAGTTCAAACTTTCTGCCTCAACAAAGTGTATTTGGGATTTTCAGAAAATTTTACTTTCTGCCAATTTCATGGAAAAAATAGTTTTTAAATACTTGAAAATTGCCAGTGAAATTAATAGCCTTATATATCTTTTATTCTCCTTCTCTTTCTCTCATCTGTGTTACTTTTACTAATATTTCTTCTAGTTTCAAGTTTCTATCCTTCCTTGCCTAGCCTACCATTGCTTCTCCCCTTATTCTTAGATCTCTGGAAAGGTTCCTGCTGCTTCCTGAATTCAATCATTAAAGTCCTTCATAAATATTTCTTGAATGAATACTTGGTGACAGAAACCATGAGATTCCTGGATCCCTGCTTGCAATGAGCTTACAGTCTAGCAAGTGCTCTCGCCCAGTGGCCTTTTCCATCCCCCTCTCTTTTTTTCCTGTATCTCTCCCTTGTCAGTCTCTTTTACTCTTCTCTCCCCACTGTCACTCCTTAAAATCTGAGCTAGAGCCTCATGAGGAATCAGTTAAAGCGATACTGTGTGAACAATCTAACTGAAGAGGATGTGCTATTGCTGGGACGAGAACCACACAGTGGGTGGAATTGAGGGCTTGAGTCACAGTGCTTGGGTTCAAACTCTCTTCTTGCTAGGTGTATGACTGGTGTGTCTCTGTGTGTGTGTGTGTGTGTGTGTGTGTGTGTGTGTGTGCGCGCGCGCACAGGCAACAGGGGCAGGTGTCTGAACCTATCTGAGCCCATTTCCTCATTTATAAAATAAGATAATAGTAGTATGTCCTTCAGAAGTTTTAAGAGTAATTGAATTAATATATGTAAAGTGCTTGGCAAATGCCTCACATATTAAATTCTTAATAAATGTTGGCTATTAGATGGTGTCAGTATAAGGACAATTAGTTTGGTTATTGATTTTCTTTATTCCATGATTAGACTCCAAGCAAAGGCTACCAAGAAACCTGATGAAGTTAAACATGACTTTGAGAAGTTCCTACATAAACTGGTATGTTTTCTTTCTGAAAATAATTGAGAATTCTCTCTCTAGCTTCTCTTATATAGACTAGACAATATTTCATAAGCAATGTATTGTGGCACACCCAAATGACAGTGGCAGAAGAGACTACATTCTTGTCATTTAATCATCCACATGCACATGTAAGATAATCTCTGTTTTACATATTTAGTGAGAATTCACATTCATTTTCCCCATTTCAAGCTTCTGACCAGGAACAGTATGCAACTGAAAAGCTCAAATGCAGTTAGAATTACAAACTAATCACTGATGTTTGAAGTTGTATTTTGTTTTTCATTAATAATTCAACAAAATCATATTGGGTACCATCAGCTGTGTTAGATGAATAGTCCCTGCCCTCAACTAATGGAAACACAGGCAGAGTATGATAAGGTTCTAAACAGTATGAAACTCAAGTATGAAAAAGAAAGAAAAGAAGGAGCCTGTTTTATCTTTCTGATTTTCCTTGTCAACTTCTCTTTTGCTTCCCTTTACCTGTGGGCAGTATTGTTAAGTCTGAAGGGCCTCTTTCCTCCCAACAGACAAGAACATGTAGTGACTAGTGTACAATATGTCTGAAAGTTGGACAATTGGAGGTCAGGAGTAGAGGAGAGCCTTTTATTTTCAGCATGTCAAGGCTTCTACTCAGAAATCTAGAGCAATCCCACTGGGGATTGCTAGCATAATGTCAAAAATGGGTCAAATCAAATTCCTACATGGGCCAGAAAAGTCATAGAAAGTAATGAAACACCTGGGTGTTGTATAATATACCAACAGGACAGTATAATAAGGAAACAGGACTATTCTTTTTCTTGTTGAAACAGGGTCTCACTCTGTCACCTGTCACCCAGGCTAGAGTGCTGCAGTCAGGGCTCACTGCTGCCTCGAACTCCTCAGCTCAAGTGATCCTCCTGCCTCAGCCTCCCAAGTAGCTGGGACTGCAGGCGCATGCCACCACTCCCAGCTAAGGATTATTTTTTTACATCCACTCACAAAAGAATATTCATTTTCCTTTTTTTGGGGGGGGGGGCGTCTATCTTCTTTCTTCCCTACTATTGATAGGAACGTGGGCACAGAGAAATACCTAATTAGAATACAAAAACAAGAGTGCAAGTGTGCTGATAAAGTACAAATGACCTGAACTGGTAAGTGGTAAATGATTTGAGTACCAGGGGAACTATTATACAAATAGCTGAGGAAATTGTAGTGCACTGGAAAGCCACGCCTCATCTAACAAGGCAGCTACTATCTCAGCCCTAGTTCATTGATGCCCTGCAAAAATATAGGACAGATAGTCTCAGATATTCCACCACTCAGTAATCCAGATTCTTCTATATAATCTTCTCATTTAAAGCCCAAGTTTTTAGTCATTCTGTGGGCCAAACTCTGTACACCTGCAAACCAGATGTGGCCCATGGGCTGCTGGGCTATAACCCCTGATCTAAATGCTGCCTAGATTTGAGTCTTCAAAATCTAGCTCCAGCCAGTATAGCCAATCTTATTCTTCACTGCATAGCAAAGCAAACCCTTCACTCTCACTGAACCTCCTACATGCACCATGTTTGCCTATATCCACAGGCTTTGCTCATCTGCAGCATGCACTCCACAGCTTTTAAACTCTATTCATTCTTTAGGGCCATGCTCAAAGTCCATTTACTGCATGATCTTTTTTCTAATGCCCCTGGCCCTATCCATTCCAGGTAAGTTTAGCATATCTCATAATGTCTAGAATACCACATGGTGATGGTAGGACTGAAACGTAGTTCTTTTTTTCAAGAGAGAAATCAAAACAAATATAGGATAGATCCATCACTTAGAATAATCATGTGTGTCCCCCAAAGAAGAGTTCACACTGGAAATTTTTACTCACCTCTTGCAAAGAAGAAATCCCATGGTAAAAATTTTAAATGGAACAGCAAAGCAATGACAAGTGCCTTTTTTTTTTTTTTTTTTTTTTTTAACACCGATCCAGGTATCTTTAAAGAATTATATCCCAACCACAAATCCTTTGTGGAAAATGGCATGGTGTTAAAAAAAAAAAAAAAAACAGAAGATTATACATTTGATTAAATACAGGTTTTGGATTTTAGGGTTTATAGAACTCAAAATTATTTTAACAAGTTTGACTTGAACTTTCTCTGGCATTTACCTTTCTGCTAAGAATGAAAATGCACCAGAAGTTTATTTTAAAATAGAATATTGGCTTTCCTGTTATTCTGTATATGACTATTACCTTTCAAGAAATACAACCAGCTTTGTGCAGGCCTCCCTTAAACTGAGATTCTAGATAGTGATGCCCAATCTGTGAGTTAAACATTAATGAGCTAATAAAATCACAGAATAATAGTAATTGTGATAATTTTCTGGGTAATTCATTCCATAAAACCATTGCTACCTCACTTATCTGAGTATTTCAGCAAAATATTTTGGTCCAAATCATTATGTAATTCAGCAAGTGCTTCCTGTATTCTGTCCACAAGAGGAAGCAAGTAATTTGCCATGACTGGCCAAAAGTTTCTGCCTACTCTTGGTAAACATACAGAGGTACCCATCAATACCATTACAAATCCCAGGATTCATTAAGTCTTTTCATAGTCACTCTCACCCACATACCTGCATAACTGCCTTACACTGAGGTACATATATGCAAACGAGCTTTGGTAAACATACAAAAAAGGGATATAAGGAATGTGTGGGATTTCTCAGAAGCCTCTCTTGGATTAGAGGTATTTGAGAAAAAATAGTCGAAACAGAATGAGAATAAAGTAAGTTCTATGAACGAACTGAATTATCATTCAGATAATTCTTTATTTATTTTTAATTGTATTTGGGCTCTGGGGTACATGTGCACATCCTGTATCCTGCAGGATTGTTCCATGGTACATACATGCCATAGTGGTTTGCTGTCTCCATCCCCCCACCCACCACCCCCCACCACCCCCTGGTCACCTACATCAGGCATTTCTCCCAGTGTTATCCCTCCTGTCCTCCCTGTGCCCCTCCCCCTGTTATCCCCCCTGTGCCCCTCCCCCTGTTATCCCCACCCTCCCCTCCCCTCCACCCCTCAACCTAGCCCTGTGAATGTTGTTCCCTTCCCTGTGCCCAAGTGTTCTCATTGTTCATCACCCGCCTATGAATGAAAACATTCGGTGTTTGGTTTTCTGTTCTGTGTCAGTTTGCTGAGAATGATGGTTTCTACGTTCATCCATGTCTCTACAAAGGACAGGAACTCATCATTTTTTATGGCTGCATAGTATTCCGTGGTGTATATATGCCACCATTTTTTTGTCCAGTCTATCATTGATGGGCATTTAGGTTGCTTCCAGGTCTTTGCTATCGTAAACAGTGTCACAGTGAACATCTGTGTGCATGTGTCTTTATGATAGAACGATTTCTAATCCTTTGGGTATATATTCAGTAATGGGATTGCTGGGTCAAATGGAATTTCTATTTCTAGGTCCTTGAGGAATCGCCACACTGTCTTCCATAGTGGTTAAACTAATTTACACTCACACCAACAGTGTAAAAGTGTTATTTCTCCACATCCTCTCCAGCATCTCTTGTCTCCAGATTTTTTAAGGATGGCCGTTCTAACTGGTGTGAGATGGTATCTCAATGTGGTTTTGATTTGCATTTCTCTAATGATCAATGATGATGAGCATTTTTTCATGTTTCTTGGCCGCATATTTGTCTTCTTTTGAAAAGTGTCTGTTCATATCCTTCACCCACTTTTGAATGGGTTTGTTTTTTTCTTGTAAATCTGCTTTAGTTCTTTGTAGATTCTGGCTATTAATCCTTTGTCTGATGGGTAGATTGCGAAAATTTTTTGGTTGCCAGTTAACTCTAATGATTGCTTCTTTTGCTGTGCAGAAGCTCTAAAGTTTAATTAGGTACCATTTGTCTATTTTGGCTTTTGTTGCCAATGCTTTTGGTGTTTTAGTCATGAAGTCCTTGCCTATGCCTATGTTCTGAATGGTTGCCTAGGTTTTCTTCTAGGGTTTTTATGGTGTTACTTCTTATGTTTAAATCTTTAATCCATCTGGAGTTAATTTTTGTATAAGGTGTAAGGAAGGGGTCCAGTTTCAGCTTCCTGCATATGGCTAGGCAGTTTTCCCAATGCCATTTGTTAAACAGGGAATCCTTTCCCCATTGCTTGTTTTTGTCTGGTTTCTCAAAGATCAGATGGTTGTAGATGTGTGGCATTGCTTCTTAGGCCTCTGTTCTGTTCCACTGGTCTGTATCTCTGTTTTGGTACCAGTATCATGCTGTTTTGGTTACCATAGCCTTGTAGTATAGTTTGAAGTCAGGTAGCATGATGCCTCCAGCTTTGTTCTTTTTGCTTAGGATTGTCTTGGCTATGTGGGCTCTCTTTTGGTTCCATATGAAGTTTAAAGTGGTTTTTCCAGTTCTGTCAAGAAGGTCAATGGTAGCTTGATGGGGATAGCATTGAATCTATCAATTACTTTGGGCAGTATGGCCATTTTCACGATATTGATTCTTCCTAACCACGAACATGAAATGTTTCTCCATCTGTTTGCGTCCTCTCTTATTTCCTTGAGCAGTGGTTTGTAGTTCTCCTTGAAGATATCTTTTACCTCCGTTGTCAGTTGTATTCCTAGGTATTTTATTATCTTTGTAGCAATTGCGAATTGGAGTTCACTCATGATTTGGCTCTCTGTTTGTCTGTTACTGGTGTATAGGAATGCTTGTGATTTCTGCATATTGATTTTGTGTCCTGAGACTTTGCCAAAGTTGCTTATCAGCTTAAGGAGGTTTGGGGCTGAGACAATGGGGTCTTCTAAATATACAATCATGTCATCTGCAAATAGGGACAATTTGACTTCTTCTTTTCCTCATTGAATGCCCTTTGTTTCTTTTTCTTGCCTAATTGCTCTGGCTAGAACTTCCAATACTGTATTGAATAGGAGTGGTGAGAGAGGGCTTCCTTGTCTAGTGCCAGTTTTTAAAGGGAATACTTCCAGTTTTTGCCCATTCAGTATGATATTGGCTGTGAGTTCATCACAAATAGCTTTTATTATTATGAGGTATGTTCCATTGATACCTAGTTTATTGAGAGTTTTTAGCATAAAGGGTTGTTGATTTTGTCAAAGGCAGTCTCTGCATCTCTTGAGATAATCATGTGGTTTTTGTCTTTCGTTCTGTTTATGTGGTGAATTATGTTTATAGATTTGCATATGTTGAACCAGCCTTGCATCCCTGGTATGAAGTCTACTTGATCATGGTGGATAAGCTTTTTGATGTGCTGTTGAATTTGGTTCGCCAGTATTTTATTAAAGATTTTTACATCAATGTTCATCATGGGTATTGGTCTGTAGTTTTCTTTTTTAGTTGTGTCTCTGCCAGATTTTGGTATCAGGATGATGTTGGTCTTATAGAAAGAGTTAGGAGGATTCCCTCTTTTTTATTGTTTGGAATAGTTTCAACAAGAATGGTACCAGCTCTTCTTTGTATGTCTGGTAGAATTCAGTTGTTAACCAATCTGGACCTGGACTTTTTTGGTCAGTAGGCTATTAATTGCTGCCTCAACTTCAGACCTTGTTATTGGTCTCTTCAGGGTTTCAACTTCTTCTTGGCTTATTCTTGGGAGTGTGCAAATGTCCAGGCATTTATCCATTTCTTACAGATTTACTGGTTTATGTGCATAGAGTTGTTTGTAGTAATCTCTGATGGTAGTTTGTATTTTCGAGGAATCGGTGGTGATCTCCCCTTATCATTTTTTATTGTATCTATTCAATTCTTCTCTCTTTTCTTTTTTATTAGTCTAACTAGCAGTCTATTTTGTTGATCTTTTCAAAAAACCAGCTCCTGGATTTTTTTATTTTTTGAATGGTTTTTTTGTGTCTCTCTCTCCTTCAGTTCTCCTCTGATCTTAGTTATTTCTTGTCTTCCGCTTACTTTTGAGTTTTGTTGATCTTGCTCCTCTAGCTCTTTCAATATTGATGATAGGGTGTCGATTTTAAATCTTTCCTTGTTTCTCATGTGGGCATCTGTTGCTATAAATTTCCCTCTAGACAATGCTTTAAATGTGTCCCATAGAATCTGGTACATTGCATCTTCATTCTCGTTGGTTTCAAAAAAGAACATATTTATTTCTGCCTTCATTTCATTATCCATTCATCATTCAGGAGCAAGTTGTTCAGTTTCCATGTAATTGTGTGTTTTTGAGTGCTGTTCTTAATCCTGAGTTCTAATTTGATTGCACTGTGGTCTGAGAGACTGTTTGTTACGATTTCCATTCTTTTGCATTTGCTGAGGAGTGATTTACTTCCAATTATGTTGTCAATTTTGGAGTAAGTGCAATGTGGTACTGAGAAAAATGTGTATCTGTGGATTTGGGGTGGAGTGTCCTGTAAATGTCTATTAGGTCTGCTTGGTCCAAATCTGTGTTCAAGTCCTGGATATCATTGTTGACTTTCTGTCTCATTGATCTGTCCAATATTGTCCGTGGAGTGTCGAAGTCTCCCAGTTTTATTGTGTGGGAGTCTAAGTCTCTTTGTCGGTCTTTAAGAACTTGCTTTATGTATCTGGGTGTTCCTGTTATTGGGTGCATAAATATTTAGGATAGTTAGCTCTTCTTGTTGCATTGATCATTTTACAATTATATAATGCCCTTCTTTGTCTCTTTTGATCTTTGTTATTTTAAAATCTGTGTTATCAGAGACTAGGATTGCTATCCCTGCTTTTTTTTGCTCTCCATTTGCTTGGTAAATCTTCTTCCATCCCTTTATTTTGAGTCTTTGTGAGTCTTTGCATGTGAGATGGGTCTCCTGAATATAGCACATTGATGGGTCTTGACTTTTTATCCAGTTTGCCAGACTGTGTCTTTTGATTGGGGCATTTAGGCCATTTATACTCAACATTAATGTTGTTATGTTTGAATTTGATCCTGCCATTTTGTTACTGGCTGGTTGTTTTGCCCGTTAATCTATGTGGCTCCTTCATTATGTCATTATTCTTTACCATTTGGTACATTTTTGCAGTGGCTGGTACTGGTTGTTCCTTTCCATGTTTAGTGCTTCATTCAGTAGCTCCTATAAGGCAAGTGTTATAAGTGACGAAATCTCTCAGCAATTGTTTGCCCCTAAAGGATTTTATTTCTCCTTCACTTATGAAGCTTAATTTGGCTGGATATGAAATTCTGCGTTGAAAGTTCTTTTCTTTAAGGATGTTGAACATTGGCCCTGACTCCCTTCTAGCTTGTAGGGTTTCTGCTGAGAGATCCACTGTGAGTCTGATGGTCTTTCCTTTGTGGATGACTCAACCTTTCTCTCTGGCTGCCCTTAGGATTGTTTCCTTCATTTCAACCCTGGTGAATATGACAACTGTGTGCCTTGGGGTTGCTCTTCTTGAGGGATGTCTTTGTGGTGTCCTTTGTATTTCCTGGATTCGAATGTTGGCCTGCCTTGTTAGGTTGGGAAAGTTCTCTTGGATAATATCTTGAAGAGTGTTTTCCAACTTGGATTCATTCTCCCTGTCACATTCAGGTACACTGATCAAGCATAAATTAGGTTTTTTCACATAATCCCATAGTTCTTGGAAGCTTTGTTCATTTTTTTTTCACTCTTGTTTTGCTAATCTTGCCTTCTCGTTTTATTTCATTGATTTGATCCTGTCTCTGATATCCTTTCTTCTGCTTGATCAATTCGGCTGTTGAAACTTGTGTATGCCTAGTGAAGTTCTTGTGCTGTATTTTTCAGCTCCATCAAGTTGTTTATGTTCTACTCTAAGCTGGTTATTCTAGTTAGCATTTTGTCTAACTTTTTTTTCAAGGTTCTTAGTTTCTTTGCATTGGGTTAGAACATAGTCTTTTAACTCAGAGAAGTTTGCTATTTCCCACCTTCTGAAGCCTGCTTCTGTCAATTCATCAGATTCATTGTCTGTCTTTTTTTGTTCCCTTGATGGTCAGGAGTTGTGATCCCTGGGAGGAGAAGAGGTGTTCTGTTCTTTGATGGTTTCATCCTTTTTGCGCTGTTTTTTCCCCATCTTTGTGGATTTATCTCCCTTTAGTATTTGAAGTTGGTGATTTCAGGAGGAGTCTCTGAGTGGGCTTTTTTTCTATTGAGGTTGGAGCGGTATCTTTTTTGGCCTTTAGAGGGTGTTGCTGGGCTCTCTCGGGTTCAGTCTGTTGGGTGAGTGGTCCTTCCCTGGAGTTTGTTTGCAGGTGAGACTGGGCTGGCCTTCCCAGTGGCGTCTCTCCCAGAGCTGGATCTTCCTGGTTGGGGTCAAGCTGGTGTATTTGCTGCCAAGCTCTCTAGTAAGGGCTTCAGTTTGAGTTCTGTGGAGGTGGGACCTCCTAGGCCTTTTCGTCTGTTTCCCTGCTTTCAACTCTACCTCCCTCTGTGGGATGGTCCATCGGCTTGGCGTTAGTCCAAACTCCCACCCAGATCCCTGTGACAACTTGCTGCAGGGAGGTAGCCACTGCTCAGATTTGCATTACCTACCCACGGCACCCCACCGTCTGGCAGGGCACTCCTGGACCATGGGTTGCAGGAGGGATGAGGTAAGCACAGGATCCAAAGCAGAGCACTGAGGGGGTTCAATCCCCCGACCTCAAAGCTGGCTGCACGTTTCAGGTTGGGACACACGCCCTCCCCCACCCCCAACCGTCTTGATTTGCCCCCCTGGGTGGCTCTTGCCCTCCAGCTCCTTCCCTGGGCCTAATTTCAGTACCCTATCAGCCCCACAGAAATGAACCCGGCACCTCGTTTGGAATCGTGAAGTCCTCTAGCCCTCTGTGTCTCATTCGCTGGGAGCTGCATTCCGGTACTGGGCTCTCTCAGCCATCTTGGTGTCCCCTCAGTAATTCTTTATTTCAATGTGAATAGAAAAGACTTAAAGTATATTTTTTCTAAGTTTTTCTGTTAAGTGATGGAGATAGCTCAGGACCAAAAGAATTGAAAGTGGTTATTTATATGAGATCACATAGTTTAAAAATATTCAAATGAGTCTGAATTTTCTACCTGTATCCTTCTTTTGGCAAAAAAAAAAAAAAAAAAAAAAAAAAAAAAAAATCCTAACTTTCTTGATAATTCAAGAAACCTCACATTCAATTACAGTGTCCAAGAAAATCTGTAAAACTTTAATCCTGTATTGCTTTCATAGCGTTCTGAAGCTAAAATTGAGAGAGAATGTGTGGCATCACTGTCATCATCATCATCATCATCATTAACAGAAAACTACAACTCTGAGGAAGAACACTAAGAGAAACCAGAAATGAACTCTACTCAGGAACAATGCATACAATTCAATGGTATCAGTTTAATTGTAGCAACGTATTTAATTCAAGTCCAATCCATGAAATCAATATTGTGTGTTTTACCATTCATCTTTAAAAATCTTCAAATCAGTAAATCTCAGTATATTCTTAAAAGATCTGTCCAAGCATGATCTTGGCTCTTAATAGTAAAACCATATTTTAAGATGGAAAAATAACCATTATGAAGCATAGAGAGCTTTCAGCCATTTCTTTGGAAATACATCTTGATAATAGCAACCATTCATCATAATAGAAAACAGAAAGAAGATTAATTTACTGTGGCATAGAAAGTCCTGCCAATTCTTAAGTGCCCTAAATAGTTTCTCTGAGATTTTTTACATTTTTCAGGCCTCAAGGAAAACCAAAGCCCCGCCTCCAGGTTTGGTAGCAAATAAACTGTGTTTCTCCGGTGCTAAGCTTCCGTCAATCCTCTGGTAATAAGCTTTGTGCACATTTGCTAGGAAGCTGGTCAGGTTGTCCACAGCTACTATTGACACTGTGCAGCCTCCCCATCCTGCTCCAGTAAGTCGTGACCCTTCAGCCCCAAACTTCCTAAAGCAATGAGAAAAAAAAATTAGAATCTATAAATATTAGAACGCATAAATGAAAATACAGGTGATTTGCTTGGTGTCTGTGGAACACATAGCCTACCTAAGTTACATGAAGAAAATACATGAGAGGTTTTTAGGTGTCATCAAACATATCAGGACATTAAGACATTTAGACTGTTTCAGAGCATGATCTGGAATTTTTTTGATTGTCTCTAAATCTGGTCCCTGGTTTTTCCAAGTAGTAAAAGTCAACAGTACTCCTCCCATTTCATGACTGGCAACAACCCACTGTAATACTGATTCCATAAAGTAGTCACTTGAAGAGTTGTATAGCAAGCCTACAGGTATATCAGGAAGGAGCCATTAAAATAAAACAGGCAATGATAAAAGAAATGTAGGTAACTGACTCAGAAGGTCACTCCAAATGAGGGCAAATCAAAATGTAAAGTTCACAGTCCTATACAAGTTTTCACCAGGGCTATTTCAGCTGCATTCTTAAGGCTGGGCTGTTTCACAAAGAAGAATCAGTCTCCTAGAACAGATAGCCTCATTCACTGAATAAACTTAGCAACAAAAAGCTTATTATTAAACTCCAGGTTGAGTGGGTGGTTGGTTGAATCTCTAATGGAAAATTAAGCAAATCTTTCCACAAAGAGGATGGCAGTCCATACCACCTTCTCTGTGCCTCCTGGAGCTGGTCTGATTACTGAACTCAGAATTTTACATCAGATGAGATGTATCTGATTAGGATGGCAACAACTATATAAAGGACCACACAGCAAGAGGTAATTTTAGTCACTGTAAACCAGGTATAGTTTTAAACCTAAGATTTTAACCAAAGTGAAAGGATCTATCACAATGTACACAGATCACTCAGCTTTAAAAGATGCAATTTATCCTGACAAGAAAGTTAACATGTACTTACAATTAATTATTCTTAATAAAATTCCCTCCAAATTATTAGTGGATTAAAGGCTATATAATTAATTTGGCACAATTTTGCCTCTTTTTTTCAATCTAAATGAGATACTTTATTTTCTGGACATATCAATAGAATACTACCTCTACTCTAGAACATCAAAATTACTGCATGCCAGTAACTGATTTTCTCTTCGATGATTCTTCTCAGTTGATTTCTTTTTATCACCTGCTTTATTACATATATTAAAATATGCTTTTCAAATGAAAATAGGTGTTCAGGAAAGAAAAAAAAATGCTTACAAACAAACAAACATCACTGATCTCTTCCTATCCCTTAAACATTCAGCTTATGGCCCAGTAGCTGAACTAAGCCTTAAATCTCATCATCCAAACTGAAAAATTTCTTTGACCTTGGGATCCTAGAATTCTAAATTTCTAGGTTGGCAAAGGGTCTGTTTGCAATTTGTTGATTTCACAAATGATTGTTATATGTAGTCGCATCAAACTCTCACTGTGGAAGATGCTGGGAAAAACTGAGGTCACTGATGTGTCTCTGGAAGACCCTAAAATATGGGCATTAAAGCCAGCCATGACATGGTATAGTGAAGAACACTGTGCCTTCTTACTTAAGATCCAAAATAGGCCATTTTGCTGGACTCAAGTCATCAAGCCTTTAAGGGTCTTCAGTGAACTTCTAAAAGGCATATTTTATAATATTTTCTTATTTAAAGAGTTTTTTAAAGCTGTAATTTTTCAAAATTGAACCTAAAGCAAACTGAGAGTATTGTTTTTAATCTGGCTATAAAATATATAGGAATTGAGCCAGAGGGTCTGTTTCCTGAGACTTCTATTAGTTTCCAGAGAGCAGAAGCTGGAAGTCTTTCTATATAAAGATACTCACTACTGAGTCTCCAGAGCTGCTCTGTCACCACTCTGCATGCTACAGATGAAAATGAACTGAATTGCATCAATCACATGGTCTGAAGTCATCAGGGCTCAAATTTCCCAAATGGAGAATGATAAGTGCTATTATAAATAGCCTTCTGCCCCTGAGTCAGTGACACATCTGATCACAAGTCAGGGCTGCCCTAGCAGCTGGTCAGTAGCCTGCCCAGCTACATACACTTATAAAGGCCAAAAGGTCTGTCTGCAGTGTTCCCCGCTGGTACTTAATAGGCTGTTTGGCATACGCCATAGAAATTCTGAGAAGACCAGAGGTTAGTAGCCAATATACACTTTAAATAAGAAAGAAAAGTAAGTGAACCAAGGGTGTTTAGCGAACTTTTCATGTTTGCACCTTTTTCTGGAAGAACGATAAATCATTAAAAATATATCTCCTGAGCTATTGCACATCAGAGAGGCAATACAAGAATTACAAAAACCAAATCCCTCAGATCCCACTTTGATGATTGTGCTGACTAGATGGGGAATAATGTGGAAAGGTTTGTCAAAGCAAAAAAGGCAGCCTCTGCTTTATAAAGCATGATTGACAAAGGCTAGGGTAGATGAAGAATGGAGGAATGTTCTCTTTGATCCTTTTATTGCTGAAAAGTATACTCACAGAATTAACTGTCCAGGCACCCAATATAGCCAAAGTCAAATATCCTACTTTTAAGTGAACTAATTTGACCATAAAGCGCCTTACTAAGTTGCAAGATACAGAGCAATAGAGAGGGTGGGGAGGAGATCCAGAGAGACCCAACTGCATTACACACTTGAGAAACAGGGAATGTAAGTTAGGCTTTGTATTTCAATTCTGTTTCATTCCTTTCAAAATAAGTGAATATATATTATACAAATGGATATGAAATAAATTATTTCAGGACATCTTGAATTTAGGAATAGGTCACATCCATCTCTCTGACCCTAGCCCAGCACAATTCTAGGCATTTAATAGGTTCTACTAAATGGCTGCTAGACTAAAATAGTTGTTTTAAAATATTTTTTTAATTATATGTAATATAAGCGGTCAGCAGTGTGTTCTTTACTTGGGAAGACTTCTACCTTCTGCCTCTAGGAAATGGCAAGAATCACAGGTAAGAGACCATCTAGCACAGTTTCTGTGACTTTTACAGCCAGGTTAGAAACCATACCTTCAAATTGCTTTAGAGTCAAGAAACCACAGCTTTAAATACTGTTCAAATGAGAAAGGATAAGAAAATATGCCTACAAGTCTACTTTAGAAAGGTAAGCCACTTAAAGGCCACTGAAGAGCAGGGGTTCGGGTCCTGCAAATGGCATGTATATTCATAAGTAAAAGAGGCTCAAAGAGAAGTGAACCCCTAAGAGTAGCTGAAATGGCTCATTCCCTTGTTTGTTTGATTTTTTTGTTTTGTTTTGTTTTTTTGATCAGGTATGCAGATTAGCACTTAAGGTCATAGGAAAAGAGCACGGAACTATGGCTTTGCACTTCATTCTTCCCCATTATGACCTTGTCAAAAGAATGGGTGCGAGAGGGCTGAGCAGCCTCACCATGGAACACATTGCAGAAAGATTTCTGAGGAAGACAAAGCAAATTAAGTTTTGTAATCATAGTTGATCCATTAAAATTTGTCATTCATCTTCATTAATTACTTGGGCAATAATGCAGCAATTAATCTCTAATTTCAACAAGTGCCAAAAGGAAATAAAAGGCATTAATCATTTTGTCTTAAGTGAACCCAGGGAACCAATACTGAATGAGCTGTCTCACATTTTGTGTTCTCCAGTAACCCTACTTAAAATTTTGTCATTTCTTTCTGTTTATATTTTGTTCAGTTACAAGAGATATTTTATAATTCAGCAAAAATTACCTTTTTTCTTCATTATTCTTGGTTTCATATAAGTTCTAACTTAAGTTTTTAATAATTTAATAATAATTTAAGTTTTAATTTTTTTAAAAAGCCTCACTCTGTAAGGATAGTTTTCTTCCTCTTCCCTGCTTCTTTCTTTAGATTCTAAGCTGATTTTTCCCTTGAAGAGCAGGAAAAGTCTCAACTGAAAAAGAGAGCTAGCAATGGTGATCTCTACTCTTTCCCAGTAACCCTTCTCTCCACATCACAAAGTTATTCTATACATTGTCCTATGTGCTAACTACTTAGAGATGCCTTTTTAATTCAGTCTAGCTCAGATCACTCTAAGATTTTCTGCTTGTGTATAGCACCTTAGGTATTCTAGGTATTCAAGTCCTTCATTTACTCATTCAGTTAGTTGTCTTTTTATACAAATAGTTTCCAAAAAGGCCTTCGAAAACACTAAAGGAATTTGGAAGTGCTGTAAGTGCACCAGGGAGGGTGATGTAAAGATTATTTTTGGCAATGCTCCTCCTTGAACCCATTTCACCTTCCCTCCTCTTCTGGGGAAGTCAAGCAACCTGCTCGGGCTGCCCAGTCTTAGTCACACCTTCCCTACTGATGTTAACACTTTTAAAGGTGGCAGGGAATTGTGGAGGTGGCGGTTGTTTTTAAACAAAGAAATACTTTGCCAGAGGTTGAGTCTGTGGCATCAGTGGCTCATACCAGGCATTGCCAGGACCCCTTCCAGTAAGACCAACACCTTCTCTGCCTGACCCGGTAAGACACTGACAAGGCTTCAGGAGGAACTAGGGCTTACAAGTAGCTCCACTGTTCATTTATTTGAACCTTTTCCCATGTTACTACCTGCTACTCTTCCACCATCTGTCTTCCCCATCCTTTTTAACCATCCTTTATCTTATTCCCACTAATTTCTGTATTCTTCTGAACCCTTCCTCCTTCCCTCATTACTTTTCAGATATCTTAAGAGAAGGTCACAGCTTTTGAAAAGTGGAGAGTAGACTGCATTTTCATGTGGTATACAGATATCCATGTGAAAATATGTACTGACTGAAGGAGGGAAAATGCCTGCATCAACTTAATTCCTCTGAGGCTATCCTCCTCTGAGGTTGCTCTGCCACTTAGGACTTTCCAGTAACTTGCAACCAACTGAAACATTTGAAGAATATTATCTGCTGGTCACAGTGACAGCCAAGAAAAAATTAATAGGAAGCTTTAAGGACCAGGCAACTATTCTGGCCAATATTTTCAACAAGCCAGAAGATAATCTTTCAATATGGAAAACTTGAACCCTATATGATTATGGAATAAGTAGAAAATAACTCCGATACTTAGCAATTGACTTTCCAAACAAAACAATCATGAAAAAGTGATGGAGCTCCTGAATTTTCACAGAACTGAATTTTTCTCAGAAAATGAATACAGTAGATGAAAATGGTCCAGTCAGAAACACTTTAGCTACCATTAAGAAAGGATTTTCCAAAAACAAATAAAATGAAAAGATAAATAAAAGGTACTCTTCCAAACCCATTTAAGACATAGCCATAAACTGACATAGCCATAAACTTTTTCACTAAAACTTATTTTTAAAATGTGTAGATCTATAGACTTCTAGAACAGAAAAAGGAAATAGAGATCATAAAGTGAGGCAATAGTTCAAACTCACAGAGCTCAGAATGAAAACAGAGCCAGAATGCAAACTTTCTTTCAGCCCACTTTTCATCCCACTCTACACATTATGTCCCTGCTCAACATGACTTTGCTTAATGTTCAAATGCTGGAAACTTTGACAACAAAGGCCTCCATCATAAAGCTTCTAAGCTAGGAGATGAAAATAGGTTACATACAAACACACATGTACACACACATATATATGACCTACATTTGAGTGTAATCACATCTCAGTATAACCCAAAGGGAGAGGCAGGTTTGGCAAAATCATTGGATTGAGAGCCAGGCTTTCCAATGAACTCATTATGTGACATTACTCAAATCATTTACTCTCTTAGTGCCCTCTTGGATCTCTAAGGTTCCTTCCTGATCTAATATTTTATGGTACTCTAAGATAACTCATACCCACCCACAATGGTAAAGTGTGCTTTTCAAAAATACGGCTTTTAGAGGAACAAGGAAAGTTTCTCAGATCGAAAAGCCAGGAGTTGTCTTGATTTCCCTCTTTCAACCACACAGCAATGATCTAAGTCTTCCTTCCAGGCATTTTTGGCATAGAATTGCCTAGCATTTCCATTTCCCCTTTCTCTTCTCAAAGCCAGAAGTCTTCCAATGGCCTACACAGCCTATATGGTATGGCTCCCCACTTCCTCCCTTACTTCACCTGCTGCCTCTTCTTCCTTCCTGGCCCTCTGCCACGCTGATCTTGCTGAGCCTCACACATGACAGCCAAGTATCCACCTCAGGGCCTGCGCCCTTGCTGTTCTCATTTATTCCCCTCCTTCAGGTCTCTGCTCAAGTATCTCTTCCACAAAGTGGCCTTCTTCACCCGCTCCATACAAAGAGTACCCACCCAACCCTGTAGTCTGTATTCCTTCCAATTTTTTCCATAGCACTCACCACTACATTCAAATTATTTTTAATTGTCATTTCTCTCTTTCCCCACGAGAATGTAAGCTTCACGAGAACAAGTACAGGTTGACCACTCTAGGAAGAGAAAGTTCACTTGAGAGTTTCAGGAAGCTAGCAAACACCCTTCCACTGCTTTTCAAGTGAGATTCAAACCATCCTACTTCCTTCCAGGCAAAGACATTTCTTCCTGATCTCTGCAAAAATAATTCCACTTCCTCTTATTTCCAGAACCAAATAATATTTGTCCCTTCCATATACTAGGTCCTTGATATTTTCCGAAAAGAGTACTTAAGTGAAATAAGCTGGGAAAGGCTTTTGAAAATTAGTGAGCAAACATGTCAGCAGATCTTCCTCAATGCTGTGGTCAAGTCTCTTGACAAACTGGGTTACACAGGCCATTTATGATCACTGGAGTTACGTGGTTTAAATTTTTCAGGCTGGGAGTGTGGCAATGAGTGAGGAAGCCACAGGTGCCAAGTGGTTAATTACATTTCCATTACTAATTACAGTGTAGTATTGTGTTCTCACAGTGAAATAACATCTAACATTTGAGAGCTCTCCAGTTTCCTTTCAGTTCTCCCAAGATCACTGAGCTCCTTCCTGCATAAGAGGACTAACTATTATCTCCATTCCTTCACAATTTTAAGAAATTTGTTTTTAGGCTTTGTGAAAGAATTTTCCTCTTTACAGTTCTGCCTCAATTAAGCATTTATCACCTGGGCTTTCTTCAGCCCTTATTTCCTCAAATTGCCTAAACTAAATCTGGAAGGCAGGAAATGCTGGCTTTCTAGGTGATTCCTTAAGCCAGGCGTCCCCAAACTTTTTACACAGGGGGCCAGTTCACTGTCCCTCAGACCGTTGGAGGGCCGCCACATACTGTGCTCCTCTCACTGACCACCAATGAAAGAGGTGCCCCTTCCTGAAGTGCGGCAGGGGGCTGGATAAATGGCCTCAGGGGGCCGCATGCGGCCTGAGGGCCATAGTTTGGGGACGCCTGCCTTATGCACTTCTGTCCCCACACTTGATGGGAATCAAGCTTGAGATCCTCTGTCAGTTTTCTCCCTTCTAAGTAGAACTACTAAGCTTAATTAGGACAGTTGACAGGAGTTTCTGGCAAAGCAGCAGTATAATAAAATAAAGCATTAGAAAGTTAACAGGGCCCAGCTCTGAGCAAAGCTACCATCTTGAAAGGCTTAATCATCCAAAGATGGAAAGGTCTTTCTCATGATGTGAAGAGCTGACTTCAAACTGACTCCAAACCCAGAGCCTCATAAAATCATGGGGACAGGTCTCAAATCTTTCATCCTACAGATATTTAGCAGGGAACAAGTTTAGCTCTATATCATGGGAGACCCCCTCATATAGAAAGTGGGGAACAATCTTCATTCTCATAGATTATGAAATGTTATATTTTTTCCATTAATTTAAACAATATCACTTGGTGGTATCTCTTGGCCCCCCAGGCTGTCTCACCGACAGATGTCTACCAGCTGGTCCAGCTCAGGGCAGCTGCACTCATACATGTCCCGGCAGCTCATGTGGCTCTGGTTCATCAGCTCTCCTAGCAGCTGGACCGTGTTTTCAGGTGCTTCTTCACATATCTTCTTAAACTGGAGGACTCGTGCAGCCTCGCTGTACACATGCTTTGCCCGCTGATAGAGTTTGAAGATGAGCACTAAGAGGGTGAGGAAAGAGATCAGGAATAGTTACTGGACAACCCAGTATAAAGAAAAACATATTTTTGAAGACTTTCATTTCTGTTTTCATTATCAATATCTTAAACTTTAAATAGGTCTCTCACTGAAAGGGTTCTTTCCACTGAAATGTGTCTATTTGCATGTGTCTATTTGTAGGTCAGTTTTACTTTTTTCTTGATACTGAATAAAATCTCTTAACTATATTTCCTTAACTTCACTCAGCACAGATGTGCATACACTTGTGTGCAATCTAATCCATCCCAAAAGAAAGGAGATGTAACATGTATTGAACACACCCTACATGCCAGACACAGTAGCTCACGCCTGTAATTCCAGCACTTTGGAATGCTGAGGTGGGTGGATCACCTGAGGTCAGGAGTTTGAGACCAGCCTGACCAACATAGTGAAAATCTGTCTCTATTAAAAATACAAAAATTAGCTGGGTGTGCTGGTGGGCATCTGTAATCCTAGCTACTTGGGAGGCTGAGACAGGAGAATTTCTTGAACCCAGGAGGTGGAAGTTACAGTGAGCCAAGATCGCACCATTACACTCCAGCCTGGGTCATAGTGCAAGACTCCATCTCAAAAAAAAAGTACTACCTCATGTAGTTCTTATCACAGCACTGAGGGATGTGCAGTATGATCCCTGTTAACAGAAAAGAGAAGCAGGCTCAGTAGAGTGAAGTGACATGCTTAAGGTCACACATCCTGAATGTAGTGGAAGCCAAACAGATCAGGGATTCCTGGCCCTACAGCCACGTTCTTTCCACTGTGCCCCAACAAAAAGGACCACTGAGAATTGTTATGGTGGCAATTTTTAATAAAAACCATAATTCTCAGCAAACTAACGTATGAACAGAAAACCAAAAACTGCTTGTTCTCACTCATAAGTGGAAGTTGAACAATGAGAACACATGGACACAGGGAGGGGAATATTACATACCGGGGCCTGTCAGAGGTTAGGGTCTAGAGGAGGGATAGCATTAGGAGAAATACCTAATGTAGATGACAGGTTGATGGGTGCAGCAAACCACCATGGCATGTGTATACCTATGTAACAAACCTGCACGTTCTGCATATGTATCCTAGAACTTAAAATATAAAAAAAAATTTTAATGTATCCTAAAGGAACAGATAAACACAATTATTTATATGGGATATACAATATTTATATATGTACCTGTACATATACTGCAGCATTATTTATTATAGAAGAAAATAAGAAACCACTCAACTATCTAATTACAGAGGACTTTAAAAAATTATACTGGCCAGGTGCAGTGGCTCATTATACTGGCCAGGTGCGGTGGCTCACACCTGTAATCCCAGCACTTTGGGAGGCTGAGGTGGGTGGATCACAAGGTCAGGAGATTCAGTCTATCCTGGCCAATATGGTAAAACCCTGTCTCTGCTAAAAATACAAAAAATTAGCTGGGCATGGTTGTGCGCACCTGTAGTCCCAGTTACTCCAGAGGCTGAGGCAGGAGGATCACTTGAAACTGGGAGGCGGAGGTTGCAGTGAGCCAAGATTGTGCCACTGCACTCCAGCCTGTCAACAGAGTGAGACTCCATCTCAAAAAAAAATTAATTTTTGAAATATTACTGCTTTTAAAACTCAGATTCTAAGAAATTTGATACATAGGAAATTATTCATTATTAAATGAAAATAAAACTATATGTACAATTGATAACTCATTTTGCATACACATATACACATATTTATGTACATTTTTATTTTAAAAACTGATAGGAAAGCACTAAAATGTTAATAGTGTTATCTTTGTGGTCCCTTATGGGCGACACATACTTGTATTTTCCAGATTACTCACAATGACTCTGTAATTTCAGCTACAGAAACGTGGCTTATTGCAATGGCTATGTCTATAATATTTACACATTCCTGTGAATAACAACTGAGACTTTCTTACCATTTTCACCCATGCTGAACAGTGGCTGAGCTGGTATGGTGGGTCTGGGAAAATTTTGGAAATTTTATGAAAATTCCCAGGCCTTAGGGAATAGAGACAGGGCTAAAAATCAAAAAGTCTAATTTCTTAACAGCTCTGTGACAACTACTTGTACACAAATTGCCACCTTTATAAGGCCCTATTTATATTCTCACCTCTAAAATGAGGTGGAAAATCACTTCTCAGGATCCTTCCAGCCCAACATTTTATAATTCTATGAAGGGCTTCTCCCAAGAGCATCTGTCCTTCAACATTCCCCCCATATTGTTTTACCTCGTAAAGAAGATACTGTTACTGGTAGTTTTTGTTAAGACCCCCAGTTCTACTCTCTGCCCCTTTCCACCCTCCTATCAGCATAGTCTATACCAGGAGTCCCTTGCCATCTAGATTTGAGAACAGGAAAAGATCAGCAGCAGATGAGGGAAGAGAGTGAGGTCAGAGGATTTATTCCCCGGCTCCTCTCTTGCAGAGCCATTTAGAGATGGCACAGTCCCTCCACTGAAGGACACTGAACATCCTTCAAAATCTCCTTTTCTATATGATTCTCTCCTCCTGAGTCTGCCTCCAGGTTCCTCTCCCCTGAACTATGATTACTTTTTCAGAAGCACTTTTACATTTCTACTAATGAGCCAGTAAATCAAGTTTCAGGTTACATTTTTTCCCCTCTGCAGGACTGTCCTTATAACTCGTATTTTCTTATATAACCCCTATATCATTATCATACCTAACAAAATTACCAGTGGTTCCTTAATACTGCCTCATATTTAGTCCATGTTTAAATTTTCCCAATTGTCCACCAGTTTAAATTGCAATTGGTTTACACCAAGATCCAAACAGATTTCACACATTAGATTCAGTTGTTATGTCTAGTAAGTCTCTTTTAATCAATCAAGAATTTAGTGGTTTAGTGATTTTTGATACTCTGTATTTTCAGTATCCTATCCAAGCACATCTTAGGGCCATACCCTATAATAAAACTCAATATAGTCCATTAGGGAGAGTACACTTTGGTTTTCCTTTAGGATTACATGTTTCTTTAGTATGAAATATTTTCTTTTAGGATTAAATATTTTAAAATAGAAACTATCCAAAGAGATACATTCTATTAAACCCAGGACTGGTGCTTTGATTTTGACAAAAAACATTCACAATACACCCAGAAGACTACCAGAACCTCACAATCCTGGCACCTTCCTGCATCTGTTCTCTTCTTGCAGAGGAAGTGTTTCACAGCAAGACTTCTGAATAGGAATGTCTGACGGGACTCTTGCTGGGCATTCTGAAGGTTCATGAGAGATTGCCATGACTTGCAATCTCCTGAACGGTAGTAACTCAGACAAGGGAAAGGGCAGAAAGGCCATCTGTTTTCAATTGTGATATAAAAATCTGCCAAAAGCCACAACAGATTTGGAGACCACCCTTTGGGTGGGAAAGCAGTTCTGTGTTGGCTGAATGTCACAAATGCTCTCTGGATCCAGGGTTCTGGCTTGTTATGTCCTGGCAACTCATCAGGTTTCTGTTATACAGATACCCAAAAAATCCAAGAAAATCTGAAGCTTTATCCATAACAGCTTTCTTCCCTGTCCAGCTAACATTATAGCCGGATGTTCCAGCTGTCTATAAGCTCTTGTAATCCTTGAGAGCAATTATTACATTAAAGGATGAAGGAAGCTGTTTCTTACTATGTTCATTGCATGCATGATTACTTCCAAGGCAAATTTAATTTAAGAATATAACACTAGATGATATTTTACTCTAATATTATTAATGGCCTATCCTATTCATAAGAAATCCAAGACTTCAAAGCGGGATATACGGCATAGTCTTCAGAACACTGATTTTCTCCAGTGTGAATCTTACATAATTACTTAATTTAATCATGAAATCATGGCACAGATTCTGAAATCTAAATGTTCATGGTCATATACACTTAAACTGCAAAATAAGTATTTCATATTGTTGCTAATAACTTTGACTTGTATAATAAATTCTATTGGCTAGCTCTAAACCTTTCTGACTAGCCCCCTAGCTATGCTTCCAACACACCATGTGGCTCCTGCCATAGGCCCGTGGCAGTAGCTGTTTTGTTGGCCTCAAATGCTCTTCCCCATGATCTTCACGTGGCTGGTTCCTTCTTTTCATTCAAGACTTAGATGTCACAGCGTCAAAGAGACTCAAATCTAATCTGCAGTAGCCCCACTAGCATCCTCACCAAAAAGTGAGGAAAGTTTTCTAACATAAAATTGGAAACAATTAGTAAACTTCAGTGCCCAAAGTATACCCTAATACTCATTATCACAGATTACTGAGAATTGTTTATATTGTATTTTGCTTTACAGATGTGAGAGAAAAGAGATTTCAAAAACAAAATGTGTTTCAAATAAAAGAGAAAGAATACAAAAATAGATAGTAAACAGTTCAAATTAGGTTTTTTTTTCTTTTAGGCAATCTTTGCAACAAAGAGTTGCCTATTAACTTTTTCCTTTAAAAGATGGTTACATAATTTATGATCAGAACCCATCTCTAATCAAGGAATCTAAATCAGGGCACACATAATTGGTTATTTTCTTGGATTTCTGGTGGGAAAGGGTGAGAAAAAGCCTTTCACAGGTGAGGCACACTGAACACCATTTTAAGCTCGGAGGACAGCAGGTCAACAGTAGATAGAGGACATGTCTATCTCATCTCTCGAAGAGTCCCACTGATTTAAATTTAACCTCTGCATGCAAGAGCTAGTGGCCTCTCCTTTATTACCTCATCTTCTGCTAAGAGCAATGCCAAAAGCACTGAGTCACATCTGAAAGAGCTTCACTGATTTAATTTTAAATTCTCCATGCAAGAGCTGGTGGCCTTTCCTTATTACCTCATCCTCCACTAAGAGTGATGCTGTAAGCACTGAGTATGATAGTCATCTAGCAACAGTTAACCAATAGTTCTTATTAAGCACCTGCTGTGCACCCAAAAGCATGCTCCAAATGATGGGAAAGCCACATGAAGTAGAACCTCTGCTT